CAAGTCAAAAACTATAGAAATGATCCCTGAAAGTATAGTCTTAACCTTACCACTGCTCTTGTCCTACTACTAGTATGACGAACATGAGCTTCTCTGTCATGGTGCTGATGTTTAACAATGGCCTCAAGATGTTTTATACTGAGAACATGATCTCAAATGATCACAAATAACATCCAAATAAGAGCAGACACCGAATAAAATCCACATAAATCTATTTTTGTTAAGAAGATATGGCAACATTTGAAACGCACAATTATAACTTAACAGCATTTGCCACCGGAAATACATCTTAACCCTGTTTTGCTGACAGTACAGATAACAGCGTATACATGAGATTTGTTCCCACGGTAAAAGCTTGTATAAACTATTAAATTATCTATACAATATATTTATTTAGAATACCCACAATGCCCTCTGGTGGCATATCCCTCCTCAGAGCCTCTTACTGGCTACTGTGATCCTGCATGGCAGCGTGTTAGCCTCACATGCTAACAACAACAAGGGGATAACCGTTGTTTTTAAAGCCCTATTTTAGACAATCATCAATATATGTACATTAGCTAAATGCTGGTTTCACATTGAGCAAATCAACTTCATATGAAACGAATGTCACATCGGAAGAGACGAGAAAATTCCACTTTAACGTTAAGAAGTGCTAGCAAGTAACGTAGGCTTAGTGTGCACCACTGTTTGGCGTCCGACCTCAAACGAGCTTACACGATAGTTCCTTTATATGACATGACATGACATGATAAAGGCGGCATGAGGAAACAACTAGTTAAGAAATCGTTGCAAAACGTTTTAAAGACTAAACAATAACATACAGGACATATTTTAAAACGTTGTCTCACTTCAACAACATTTACAATTCTGAAGATTTGCTTTTGAAATATGTTCTGTTCATTTTATGTTGTTTTTTTTAACAAAAACTGTTTTCGGTAAATTACATGCTGGAGGCAGAGACACAAAGCCAATACCATATGGATTATTTTCAACCTTTTTGGGGATGAGTTTAGGTAGAAAAACAGAACAGGTTGTCTTAAAAGTCCAACAGTGTTTAGGACATTAGTCTTATTAAATTAGCCTATTCATTTTAAAATCATTAATACGTGGCACCAGGTGGATTGACCCAATGTGTTTATCACAAAGTTTAGCTGCAACATTTTCAAAACAGTCAAACTGAATCAGTCTATGAACAGAATGAAGAACCCGTGCCACGTGGTATTCCTCAATTAGTACGACACCAACACAGGTGCGCTAAGGCTATGCTAACCTAGCTAACGCTAATTTAGCGTACATTTACATAGCGTTAGCTGCTAGCTAGCAGTCCACCACGGCCGTGACGTAGCTAGCATTATGTAGCGTAAACGATAACTGAGCAACCGTCTGAACTTTAAGTATTGTATTGCCGCTTTAGCTTTAAATGCGACATATGTTTTTGGGTAGTTATACATATCAAATAATAATCAACGGCATTTACTCACCACCTGTAAAATAATTACCATAAAATGGCCGTCACTTAATCGAGCCCCATTGCGCATGCGCGATTGAGACAGGAAGAGAACGTTTACAAAGATCAAGTTAAACTTCAAATTGTATTATTTTCATTGTGTGCTGTTTTTGTTAAGACAGTTAATTATTTGGTGTTACTTACAAAAAGACTTGAAGATGCAGTTTGCAGTGTAATAAATCAGTATTGGAAAATAATAAAAACTATATTTGATGCATTTACTTTGGAGTATACACTTTTAAATCGCAGTTTTTCTTTCTTATGCAACACAGACTAACCGTTCTTTATGGAGCTTCTCCTAGTTGGAATTTGCTCCATAACACACATGTTCTAATCCTTACATTTGGCCTGTTTCGTCCTTTCTTGTTTTATTAAGACTGTTTGATATTAATATGTTTTTATAGTTGTTGTTTTTGTGTGGACACCAGGATGACCCCAGCACTTTTATGGAAGTTAATCAGGATCCAAATAATGAATAAAGAATGAATGAATAACAGCAGCATGTGGTATAGTAACGTGTTTAGCCTATGTATGTGTTACAGAACAGATTTCTGTCCAGAGTATTGACATGCGATGTCTGGCTGCCTGAATGGACCCTTATTGTTCCTCCAAATTCATAAATTCATCCTCTTGTCCCCGCCCCCCTCCACTTTGTTTACTCTGACGTCATTCACATGCGTCGCTCACATGGAACACCGGAAGCGACACAATAGGCATGTTTTCTCTCTTTTGGCATTTGAATCACTAATATACTGACTTTAATGTGTCGTTTAGTGGATTTCAGAAAGAAAACACACGCATATGATCACATAATTTACCGTTAGTCACAAATAACTAATTTTTTCTTTTCTTTTAGGTGATGCATCTGAGGTCAGTGTTGCAGAGGAGGGCAGCTCCAGACTGAGATGGCTCATAGTGGATCAGATGCGTGTGAGACGCAGCTGAATGGAGTCTCAGAGGAGATGGATCTGCTTCGAATAGACGTGGAGACTGATGTGGTGGAGGACAGGCCAGGGAGAGAAGCTGCACCGTTTTCTGTAGGTTTGTTTACTATTCCTTCATTTTTTTAATACATCTCTTCAAGCTTGCATGGGTTTCCAGGGTAGCAGAGTAACTATTCATTATTTGATTGATTCATTATTTTGTTAATTACACAATTATTAATTCTGTAAAATGTATTTCAAGAACACAAACATGAATTTCACGTTTCCAGAGTCATTTCAACCATAAGAATAACACTAAATGGAGTATTGCTTCTCTCAGGGCTACAGCATAAAATCTGGCTAAAACATGGAAACAGTAAGACAAAATATAAAAACAACTAAAGTGTGCAGGTGCATCAAAAACCTGAATGCAATACATCAGCCGAGTGTCTGATATCTCCTAAATGATCTAAGATCTTCTAAATTAGTATACAACTTCACATCTCTTATTTGAGAAATAATCCTGTTTGTAGATTACTTTGACTGGTACAATGCATGATTCTGTGTGATTGCAAAAGGTAAAAGTGTAGTTTGTCTTAAAATACTGTAAATGTCTGCATTGGCTTTTTAACAGAGGAACGTGTTGAGGAAGCAGCGACACTGGGAGAGGCAGCTGGCAGCGAAGAAGAGCAAGAGGAAAGAAGAGAAGCAGAGGAGGAAGCTCAACCATGAGCAGGTGTCAGGTACAGAACGAGTGAAGAGAGTCAAACACTCATTTTGCTTTCGCATGGAGATCAAAAGGGGAAAATAAGTTACACTCCAGCGCCTCTATAACCAGAACACCTGTCTTTCCTGTGTTTTTTTCTGTCATACAGCTGCCAGTGCAGATAATCCTCAGCTTACCAAACGGGTCATGAAAGCGATCACCAGAGAACGTTTAGCTGAGGCTCAGTCCACGGGGCTCAAAGTCTGTGTTGACCTGAGTATGACCGACAACATGTCTGAGAAGGTAGGGGCCTCAAAACACCATCATTGACTCTCAATAAAGCCTGTTTTTAAGAATGTTAGAGCACTAAACAACTGGTTCTGTTTCAAATAACAGTTGTACTGATCCCCACAGAGATGCAGTCACCTGTCTGCATTAATTTAAAAACCTCTACTGTGCATGTTTGTGTGGTTCAGGAGGTATGTCGCCTGGCTGGCCAGTTAAGAAGGCTGTACGGGTCGAACAAGAAGGCGACTCGGCCGTTTCACCTTCTCCTGACGGACCTGAGGGAGGACAGCCGGCTCTACAGAGAGTGCCTTCGAATGAACGAAGGCTTCCTCAACTACGCGGTGATTATTGTTGTTCACGCTCTGAATTCTCTGGTGAATATTTCAAGGGAAGGATAAAGCAGGAAATCCCTCTAATAGTAGTTGTTTTGCTTTATTAAAAGCTTTGAATACTGCAGACAAGTATTGTAAGTGTTATTTTATTCTGAAACTGAATACATACGATTGTACATAATCTGGACTGGGAATAGTTTGAATATTTAGCAAGAGATTATCATTTTATTCCCTTTTGCATGTTTATTTCAGATGGATATAACAGAAGAAAGCTGTGTGGACCTTTTTCCTCCAGAAACTGTCATCTACCTCACACCAGATGCTAAAGAAGGTTTGATGAACTTCTCAAAAGTTGATATATATATATATATATATATTAAAGTGGGGTGAGACGGATATACAGTAGCTATTCTAAAGTTGTTTTAATACTTAATATTTTTTTCTTTTCTAAGAGATAACTTCTGTAGAGGGTTCACAACTCAACAAAAAAATATTTAAGTTTAAATGCATCTTTTGGCCAGCAGGGGTCACATTCTGACCACATTCATGTGTCCATAACTGATCACTACTATAAATACGACTATGAGGACTTTAGTAACTGATGTCTTCGTACATAAACACAGTAAGACAGAGAGGTAATGTAAGGTTCAATGAAAGCTAAAAAATACATGGAAAATTAGACAAAAAAAAAGCAAAGCTACATAATGCAACATATATTCACATTCAGTGTCTTTTCCTGTTTGATTTCCTTTGATACAGTTTTTCAAATCTTTTTTTATTCCAGCGTTAGAAACAGTGGACGCTGACAAGGTGTACGTCCTCGGTGGCCTTGTGGATGAAAGCGTCCAGAAGGTATTCTACATGAAGACGGATTAAAACTACACAACACACACGTCACATCGCAGCAACTCATTCAATTAGACTGATTAGATGCTAGTTTTCTTTTCTTTTTTTAAATCGGTATATAACCCTCATTTCAGTTCAGGTCAAATAAAATCCATTAGCTGAGATTACATCGGTGGATGTGGGATATGTCATTTATTTTCTCCCGTGTCTCTTCTGCAGAAGTTGAGCTTCTTGAGAGCCAGAGAACTGAGCGTTCACACGGCGAGGCTGCCCATAGACGAGTACATGGTGAAGAAAAACAATGCCAAGAACTTCCACTCCAAGATCCTGGCTGTCAATCAAGGTGAGGAATTATTTTTAGTTTTCCAGACAACTGAAGCAGTTCTGTGTTCATTAATGATCGAGTCTCTCTCTTTGTCTACAGTGTTTGACATCTTACTGACTTTCTGCAACACCGGCAGCTGGACAGAAGCCCTGCAGGCCGGGTTCCCCCAGGGGAAGGGTTATGTTGTTGCGCCAGAGGATTGCCCGCCACATCCTGTCTCTCAGTCAGAAACCTAGCATGTGGATTCAATTTCATTCATGCTTTATACAGAACTCTTTTTCCATCCATCTCAAATACCTAAGGGGAGTTGCGACAATGTGATAAGTGCCTGTTTTTAAAAAATAGCAAACTTTTCTTCAACATTTCTTGGTATTGTGTACATTGAAACAAAAAAAATGTCATATTTTGTTTGATGCTGAATTCCAGAATTTTATAAAACGGAGGAACTTTTCTACTTTTTAACGTTCTCAGGGGTCTTTTGTTTTTTAGTTCATTAGTGAACGACAGCATTGTGAACAATGACATTTCTTTATGGTTGATGAATCCCTGAAGCTTAATCAGATAAAAATCAAAGCCATGATTATCTTTACAGGGAGATTGCTTCTTTTGTTTTCTTTGTGTGTCCCTTCAAAGATTTATGTTGTTGGAACACTGTTTGTCTCATCAGTTTTCAATTTTGTGAACCCTTTTCTGAAAGCTGCTTGTTGACTAAATGATTTAAAAGAGGCAGCCTGTGCTGGTCTTTGTACATCAACTGTTGTATATTGTGGATGTCTACTGTAATCCCTTGTTTTATCTTCTTGTATGTTTTACTGTAAAGCAGCGCCGTTGCACTTTTATAGATTTTTCAGATTGCTGATAAACTTGCTAGACTAACACGTCTGTGGTTTATTCTTCAATGGGTTTTGGTTAACATGACGGCCACGGCCTGAAAGGAGGGAGACGGAGCTGGAGAACGACCTTCATGAAGGACGTTTTCCAAAGAATGTTGGATTTGGCTCTGTACATGGCCCCAATTTACATTCCTCGTTCGCTAAGTTGTTTGAAATGTCTGATTGCCTAATTAAAGGGGAGGTTTTAATACCACAGATAGAAAAGGAATGTTGAAACAGACTTTTCATCCAAGGCACAGAACCTCTTTTACATGTTATTTCACTTTGTTTCCAATACATTGATGGTTTAATATCCATATTTTATTGTACAGGTTTAAAACATTACTAGTTTAAAACGTTTCCAGTGGGAAAGTATCTTCCACTGATTTACGCCAGAAAGCTCTTTATCCACAGCTGTTTGTTTTAGTTCTTGAGCCTGAAGGTTGTTAGTTTGTTTTGCTGGAATGTTAATGCTCGGCCTGTTGCATGGGATAATTTCGGTCATTTTTGTTTTTACTATTTGTCTTGTGAAACATGTAGTTCTTAAGAGTTTCAGATATTTTTGTGTAAATACTGTATTAACACATCTGTAAACAACTGACACTTTGCACTGAATTCCTTCTATTCACATTTAAAGAGGGGATTATTTCCCAATTCAAACTTAAGCACATAACATATCAGTCAGGAGATGAACTTACAGATAAATAACACTTCCCTCTGGCTCTTGAGACGGACACCAGCAAGTGTTTTTATAAATATCTTGAAGAAGTGCCATCACTATACTGTTTCATGAGCCTCAGCGCACTGAAACCATAGACGGGAAATGTTGCTCTGCTGGGGAGCTCCCAAAGAAAGAAAATAAATGATATCTTGAAAGACTTAATGTAGAATGTGACTGTGAAAACGTTCTGTTTCCTTAGACCCGGGGGCCAGAAGGTATCGTAAACATATTTTCTTATCAAAGCAACAGCTAACTGGGGAGTTAGAGCTCTGGTTTTCTCAGGAAAGAACTTGGCCCAATCAGGGACGAGGATAATAAATAATAGCTTTACTGTTCTCTGGAAATCTCCCACCATGCAGCTAACCCTTAACATCCGTGGGTGACGATGCCAATTACTGGTTTCACAAATAATTGATTCACATTGTTTGAAGTGTGTGGTTTGTTTCAGCGTACGTTTTGTTTTTTCGGCCATGTTAGCAGTGTAGCTCCAGGGATTGCTATAAAGTTGAAGCTGAAGCACAGCTTTTGCTGCATTTAAGTCTGATACAAGAGGATTTACAGAGCAAACGCAGCTGTAAGAATTGAATAGAAGGAAGTCTCATTTTACTTTTAAAACATATATTTATTTTCCTTTTAAGCCTCACATAGGGATTGGAATTCAACAAAGCAAGTCATGTTGCCTGGCTATTGCTGGAAAAGGCCAACACAGTGTTACACAGAAATGATGTTACATACTAGAATATTACAGATTTCATGCTACATTCAGTCATCTGCTTTCAAAAGAGGTCATACAATTAAACTTTCTACGCAGTCACACAATTAAATACCTTCTGCACACAAAGTCTTCCAACTCTTGCTTACTTTCCATTTACTTCCATAACATAATCACACACTTATCTTTCTACCGCTGAGACAATATAAATCAAGCATCAATGCATATATGGTATAACACTAACAACAAAAAGAAGTTATATAAATTACACAACCTGTGTGTTATTCATTAAAGTGAAACAGCATGGCTCATAGTTGCAGAAAGGAGTTAAGTCTAAACAGCTTTAATTGCAACATGTTTTTTAAATTTGTATCATGATATTATCCTCGATTTTTGGGAAGTGCTGCTCCCTGCTGATGACGTTGTTTCTCAAGGACAAAGGTGATCAGCTTCTTCACCCAGGAGGACCGAGGGTTCAGGCACACCTTCTCCCCGTTCGCCAGTCCAGCTCTGGTCAAAAGAACAGAAATATTACGCAATTAGAGCCACGGCAGAAACACTGATAACATGAGGCCAAGAGCGTCCCCACTCCTTCCAGGAAGCTCTGGCAAGCAAACGAACATATTCAGCTTATCTGTGAGCCAAAATCCAATAACAGTTCACATGATTGTTGTTTTTTTTTACTTACATGACCTCAATGTTGGGGCAGTGGGTCCCTTCAGGGACGAGCTTGATGCTCCTCAGGTTGTCTGGAGGGATGATCCTCGACTCCAGCTGAAGGCACCGGCAGTGTGTGTTGTAGTCTCTGCTGATCGGCGGCATTCCTGTCGTCAAAATCGACAGCCAGTGAGATTTTACCACTTTAAACTTTTGACACATACCACCTGGCTTCTCATTCTTGGCAGAGTTTTTCTAAATTACCCGTGGGAATGAACTTGAACTCCCCAAAAATGGCTTTGGTTGCTGTTTTATTTGACGGGTCAGAATATGCAGATGTTTTCAATTTGCAACCTGTCATTTCTAATCCATGAATCAAATGTTGACAAGACACTTTCTAATGGAAGTCTTTCTTCACAACCACCAGCCTTGGCGTTGTGACACTGTTGTACTGGGCACTTCCTCCTTTCTCTTGCAGTAACCTTCCTGTTCACTACAACTTAAATTCTCAAAGTCAGGGTGCGGTAAAGTTCACTGAAGTGTTTGGCTGTGTTACCGTAATATACAGCCATTACTACAACATTCATTCATTCACTTACAGGTAAAACAGTAGTGAACGTCATGCCTGCATCTTGTTTTGGTCGAATATTTTGTCATTAAAATATAGCTAAATACATTTATTGCAGGACACAATTTTGAGGTACTTTTACTTTATTTCCATTTTATGGTACTTTCTTTCCTTCTGGAATTTAGTGGAGTTTAAGTATATTGTGCTATTTACCGCTTTAAGATTAGTTACTATGCAGATTACGATTGTACGTATGAAAACACATAATCATGTAATTAAATATGATGCATATTTATAGATAAAATGATGAAATTAGCTCTTCCATTCTTCCTACAGATTTTACAACAATTATTTATTTTAGCAATATTCAATATTACAGAATATAACAATAACACACCAAACAAGATAATTCTGATAAACGAGTACTTTTACTCGTTTATTAGTACTATACTGTTATCAGTAGCTGATGGCAGTATAGTACTTTTACTCGAGTAAAGTTTTGAATGCAGATTTTTTGTTGTTGTAATTTAGTTATTTATCACTATTACTAAAGGATCTGAATACTTCTTCCACCTGTGGTTATCTTATTTTGATGTAATAAATCAACAATGTTTTTTTAGATCAGCACGTACAATAAAACGACAAAACAATAAAGCAGACATGATGTTCATGTGATGCAACAGAACCAAGTTTTACGTCTCTGCAAGTTGATTTTCATAAAACTAAGAGAAGAATACAAACTGGTCTAGGCTTAAAGTATGGTTTCCAGGTTAATAATCCATTCAGGCACAACTCTGCAGGAAACAACCTCCAACAACCCGCCATTCCAAAGTCCTGAGGCATAGTATGCTACCATTTCACAAGACCGGTCACACAGAAAGCATCCCACCATGCAATTGTGCTCTTACCGTTGACGAGGACAAACAGGGTCCCGAGAATGAGCAGGATGCAGAGCTTCATCTTGTTTGAGCAGCTGTTTGCAGACAGATATCATACAGCTGTTGGGACCGCTTATATACATTCTGCTCTCCAATATTTATGTACACAGCGATCATGTGCTCTTCTTAAACCGTGTGTGTGTGTGTGCGGGAATTATGGTTTCACATTGGTGCATTCACATGTGCAGCAGAAGGTAGTCATGGGACGGTGAGTGAAGAGGCCCCGTTGAGGTCAAAAGATGGCGTACTTGCGGTTGTCGGGCAGAGAAATGAGTCACACAGACGGAGCGTGCCTGTCTGGACGGTCGTCCAACAGCTTCATTTCTCTTCTGCTTGTCACGGCTCTGCAGACGTACTCAACTCTGTATTCTCCCTCCGACTGTGATAGAGGAAAATGATAAAAAATGATCAACAGACACTTTTCGGTAAACAAACGCAGTTGGACCTGTGGCTGCTGCACATGACACTGTGAGGTAGTTGTGTTTTACTTAGGGCCTTTGTTCTGACCTTGTATATAAAGCATAATGGAGATACTATGTGAAGGAGATCATCAGTCGTGTTGTAGAAACACAACTCTAAATGAATTATAATGAACGTCTAAAAAGGCGACTGTTTGCTAAGACATTATACCTTTAACTGTGGGCGTGATGTTTAGCTCGTTGTGAAGTTGTTAAGATTTGAGGCCCCAAAAAAAAGAGTGATTAATTCAGCTTTATGTAGTTTGGTAGTTCAGGGGATGAGTTGTTGTTCTTGATCTATTTTCAATTAGCATTGTGTGAAAATCCCCCCAAATTTTCAAAACATGCAGATAAGAATGAAAATGAAAAACATTTCAGTTCAGTTATGTGTCATTTCTATTTTAGTTCACAATGTTCAAACTGTCATCTGGTGTTTGTTTTTTAATGTTCAACACTTTCATTTCAGTTTTATTTCACAATAGCACCCACGATCACAATGTGTATCATGCTGAATTGGGTAAACATAAAAGTAATTCCTGTAAACTAAAGCATCCATTTGTTTGTAAAGATAAGTAAAAGAACACCATTGTATAAGCTGTGTGCGATCACAACACTCATTGGGGGACAATTAAATATATTCATTTTTATGATATAAACCAGTCATGATTGTTAAAAGATCTTATGTGGATTAAGATTAACCTCCATCCACACTGCTGCAATCTGTTTGTTTTGAGGTTAAACTGATTAAATGACACTAAAGTCTCTTATTTTGCTAATTAGTCAGGAAGTTGAAATTCCATAATCGGAACATGTATTTGTTCACCAAGTATCATGAGAAACATATAATATAATAAGTGACAAAGAAAACAGCTGAAGTCCTCTTTTTGATGACAAAGTGCTTTCTGAGAAATATTACTCCCTTATGATTGAAGGCACGTGTCTTTATCAGACGTCGGGACATAAATGTGGGATAAAAGTGGGTCATCAGGCGAAGCCTCAAGGGCACATGACCGTAAAAAAAATGTAATATTACAGTATGACTCCGCAAAATTGTCATCTTTTGAAAAACAATCTTGGAGACTTTTAATGGGAATTTTACAACCCAAAGCACAGAATGACTATAATATTCCACATACTTTGTACAGTGTATCGGTTAAATATAAATGCCGTAATAAATGAGACAATGACGATCCTTTTCCAGTTTGTTCTGTCCTTAAGGATGGAGAATACTTGAATTTTACGACGCTGTCATGGGCTAAAAGTTTGTTTCTATTGATATAATGTGACTTTGTTATTCATGTTGATTGCAGACCAAAAGCAGAAACCTGCTTGGGGGCAAATATGATTTATCAGCATTGTTCCAATAACAATTGCAACAGAAGGTGTCAGTGGTGATAGATTTGACACTTTACTTCTCCTTCTTCTTAGAAAGCATGACAGCAAGACAGACAGACAGCAAGACAGACAGACAGCAAGATAGACAGACAGACACTAAAAGAGACAGCAAGAGTGACTATTGGTCTGAAAGCGAGACAGACAGACAGACAGACAAGAAAACAACATTGTTGGTCATTCGGTCCACCACTTTGGTCCAGACTGAAATATCCCAACAAGTACTGGATGAACGGTCATAACATTTTGTTAGACATTCACGGTCCCCAGAGGATAAACCCCAATGACGTTGCTGACTCCCCTGATGTTTCATCTAGCACCATCAGCCAGTTAACATTTCTGGTTTTGTGTGGAATTTTTAATAACTAAACTCCATTGTTGTGATTTATGACCAAATACCAAACTAATGGCATTCCCATCTGCTTCAGCTGTATTTTATATTTATCGCCAATTGGCAATTGTTAGCTAAACATGCTTAATGTCAGCATGTAAGCATCGTCTCTGTGTGCTGACGTTAAGCTCATTAAAGCCTCACAGAGCTGCTAGCGCTGCTGTAGACTCTTGTTTAGTCTCTGCGTTTGTCCTTTAGATCTACTGTTGACTGTGATGTCTCAACGTAACTGGAAACCATTTCACTGGCTGCTTTGAATTGTTATTTAAAATAAAATGCCAAGATGTCTGTTTTACAATCCCATATATTTATTGCAGTTTTTCATTCCTTCATCTAGAGTGTCAAGAGTCAGTGTTGTACATTAAGATGTCAGCCTTAAGGAAATACATACAGTATGATGTGTACACACAAAAATACAAAAATATTTGTGATATAAAAAAACATAGTTCACATTTACTATCATTTTTACTGACCTTCACATTATCTGCCAGCTTGAATTACATCCCAAGCAATGCTTTTACAGAGAGTTTGACAGCTTGCTAAAATATGTAGCAAATACAATGCAGTCACAGTAAAAAAACAAACACTTCTCATTCACCGTGGATTGAATCTTAAGGCAGTATTTGACGTACATAATACCAGAGCACCTCAAACATGCACCCTGTTCGTCCTGATGAATATTCTGGCTAAGGACACTTCCCTGACTTCACAAAATGTCTCCTAAATGTGACAACGCTAAATTATGGCTGCTGGAGTATTAGACATTTCACACTTTTACATCTTACCGTCACTTTTAGCTCCCAGTGTGCAAAGCTACGAAACAAGTGATGTGAAACAATCTCATCTCTGCAGGAACTGCACCATCCATACCCTTAATTTGGTAAGGTGTGCGAAAATACAACTTGGATACTTCAGTTTAATTGCAGTGATGATAAACAGTTTTATAATGATGATGTTGGTGCTACTTTGGCCAACACTGGGGCTGATGTTGTGCTTGTTTTGGGGCTGGTGGCCCTCATCTTATCAGCACGGAGTGCCCTCTGCCTGTAGAGAAAGCACATCATGTTTAACCTTTGATTAGAAAATGTCATTCATCTGAAACAGTGGTTGGTTTACAGCCTTTTCTTTGGCTTGTGACCCCTTAAAATGAAGCTGTGTCTACTTGTAACTTGATTCTATGTATTCGTTACACTTTGACACTTAATTCAATGCTAGCACTTAAGCAGGGATTCTCGTTATTTTGGCCTGTCACCCCTTAAAAAATATGCCATGTCTACTTGTGACCCCTTAAAAAGAAGCTATGTCTACTTGTGACCCCTTAAAAAGATGCTATGTCTACTTGTGACCCCTTAAAAAGGAGCTATGTCTACTTGTGACCCCTTAAAAAGAGGCTATGTCTACTTGTGACCCGTTAAAAAGAGGCTATGTCTACTTGTGACCCCTTAAAAAGATGTTATGTCTACTTGTGACCCCTTAAAAAGAGGCCATGTCTACTTGTGACCCCTTAAAAAGATGCTATGTCTACTTGTGACCCCTTAAAAAGATGCTATGCCTACTTGTGACCCCTTAAAAAGAGGTTATGTCTACTTGTGACCCCTTAAAAAGATGCTATGTCTATTTGTGACCCCTCATCAGCAAATTTAAACAAACTACACTAGAAAGTTGTATTGCGGAAATGTTTTTTTAAAGCTTAAAACTGCTTATTAGAAGCCTCTAGCTGCCTAAGTAGTTGCAGGATAAATTACATGTCACTTCCTCCGTCTTCCATACGCACTGACAGTGATGTCACACTTATGTTGTTCAACCTTCCCGTGCACTTTATTTGGCAAGCTTTCTCTCATCTAATTACATCAGTTCACGCTGTGTTGAACAATTGGCGAATGAAAGTGCACCATGTGAAGAAGAAAAGCTTTGCACTTACTTTTGTTTTCCTAGCAGGATTAATTGAGCGAATTCTCCATTGGGGTCAAGACACCCTGAGCTCCCGTCTTTCAGTGTGACACTAAAGGAGAAAGAGAAAGCTTTAAATGAAAAACAACTCTATAAACGCACACTGCTATTGGAAAGTCAACAATTATCCACAAAAACGACTATGTGGTCTATTTGTTGTTATACTTACATGACTTCTTTCTTGCTGCAGTATGGACGAGGCTCACACACTTCTACATGAGCGATGCGCGAGCGCAACACGGCCTGGCTTGTTTTTACACATCGGCATTTCAGAATTGCTGGAAAAAAATTAAGACAACAGTGTAAATATTCTATGGACAGCCAAAGTCCACCTTTCATATTTTACTGTTATTTTAAGCCCAGCAAAATAAACACAGAGAGGGAGATGTTTTTAGTCAAAGTTGACCTCAATAAAAGCCTAAATGCATAAATACAGCTTTTTCATTTAAAAAAAAAAAATAGCACACTTACACTTTGAAGTGCAAATGGTAATGCAGGCCAGGAGAATGATGCACCGGATTGCAGTATTCATCGTTGTCTTAAATGGTGGAGGTTAGTGAGTTATCTTCAAAGATGAATCCCTGTGGCTTTTCAGTGTGGTGATGTTGTCTTGTCAGATTTGATGAATCTCCCCCCTGCTGTGTGTATTCTTCTCTGACTGTGCAGGAATATGAGCCCCATGTTTTCTGCTCCTCCTTTTTATACCCTTGCAGTTGTGAGGACACGGTTTCCAGAGAAATTCAGAAAGCCCTATTGCCTCACTCTGAAACGGAGCCAGCTTTTGTTATCTGATCATCTTTCCTCTGAATCAACTGTCGATGTCACGTTTCACTTCCTGCGTGTCATCTTCGTTGTCAATGCTGCTATGTACAGTATATGTACTACGTTAGCAGTTTATACTTATGTATCTGCCCATTCAAAATAAACCTAATCAAATACTTCTATTTAGAAATACGTAGAGGTAATTAGCCATGTCGGTTATATATTTGGCAACAGTTTTGAATTAATGCTGTTATAGTAATAGTGGAGACCATCTTTGACAACTGAGCAAACTCCATCTGCTGAGGAAGACTGCAAGATGTGATGGAAAGCTCTGGAAAAAGCTAGTAAATGGACCTCTTGTAAAGATACGTTCTTGTCTAACTGCTCCCTATTTTCCTTTGATCTACATTGAACTCGGGTATAACGTAACAGGTTGGAGCAATACCGAGTTATTGTGTGTTGCAACATGCTGACATGATGGGAAACACTCGAAACATATCTTGATGTAAAAAACAAAAGACTTCCAAGTAACTGGCAGTAGAGTAAAGGAGGATGTGGGAGTGTCAATGTGTGTGGGGGTGTTAATCATGTTGCAGTTCAGCCTAGAGTTCAGCCAGGAGTTAATCATTCAACCTCACACCTCGATAGTGACAATGATTGTAGAAGAAGAGTACAACACACAGCACAACCACAGCGATTTAACATTTTGTCATTTGGATTTTTCCGATTATATTTCAAAACATGGGAAGCGTAATGTTTGAAAACATAGTACTGAACATTTTTTTCAAATAAATCAACTATAAAATAACATGTTGCTGCTTCCTTGGCTTCAGGAGTTCAAACACCACTAAAAGTGTGCTACAAGAGTCAGGATAATATTACCGCTCTACCATAAAGAACGTTTTCAAGAGAGACGTACAATCTAATGGTTGAGTTGTTTCTAAACTTCTCACAACAGGGGCCTTGTCCAAGTTCCCACGAATTTGGCCCCATATATGCCCCTGTAGTCAGCCTAAGTGCCTCCCCAAAGTGTTGCTGTATTTGGTCCACGTTCCCTCTAGTCAACCTGACTGCTCCCCAAATACAAATGTGGTCTGGCCAGGTGCCCTAAACTGCCACTGAGGTGTCTCCACTTCACTCTCTCTCAAGCTTTAATTAAGTCAACTAAATTTATCGCAGCGAACAAATATAGCATCGTCAGCGAGGAAACTTCTACAACATTCCTTTGTCTAAGTTTACGCTCTCATATTACACCACTGGTGCCAGACATCTCCAGGCTGAATTTAATTGCACAATGCGTGCATGAGCCTGTATTGCTTCAGTGGAAGTGAAGTATGGATTGAGACCTGCCCATGAACCACTGACAACACTGATGCCAGCTTGACGAGCTGAGAAACATTGGCAGCAGGGGTCCACACATGTAGAGTCCTCATGTACAGTATCAGGAGGATTTGTCTCACCAGAGACCAACTCCCTCCTCACCAGAAACACAGCGCCTGCATCCAGTCTGGTGTTCAAACTCACCACTCATATCTTCTTCTCCACATTGGCTTCCTTTAGTACCTCACATCCAGATCAAGGCCTCTATGGAGTTATTTCCACCTCTGAGCCATGATCAAACCCTACACTATGAAGCCATTAAAGCTGTTTCTGCCTCTGTACCTTTGAACACCCTGTCTTTTTCTAAAAAAACAACAAAAAACATTGAATATGGTTTTGGTTTTCAAAAAAAAAAATGCAAAAACATTGTTGAACCTGAAAAAAGCACATGTCAACTTGAAGAGGTACTTATTACTATTTTCTGAGCTTTCAACCACATCATGTAAACATATAAACATAATAAAACACTAAAATACTGGTTAACCACATAAGACCACAACATTCACACAAAATGTAAAAAACATGAACAACATTTTTACTTGCTTTAGTGTTAATAAGTGGATATAATATGATTATCATCGTCTGTACAAATTTCACTGGGCTGTTAAAGTCACTATATGAGTTTGTAAAGGTTCATTGCATTGGCAGGCTGAAAGCTGCCGCTTCGTTGCAGTCAGTGCACCATGTATCATTTTCAGTCTAAGTAGGACATCTAATGGTTTGAACTGGTAATGCCGCAGGATGTCTGTGTTACTTCCTGTCGTCTGTTTTTTGTTTGTTCCATTTTTCTGTGACGTGAAATCACAACACAGAAACTATTGACAGATTGTTATTGACAGAATTGTTACTATTTGTGTAATTGGGTGTGGCAAATGCAAATACTGAAACATGAGAACTGAACATAAGTGAAAGTGAAAGTGAAACCAAAATAAACCTACTTCAGATTCGCAGTGCCCTGCGAGGCACCATTGCATGCTAAGAAGTGCCTTACTTATCAAGTTTGTAAGATCTGTATTTACCTAAAATGGATGAATACCAACATCCGTTGTTCTTTGAAGCGAAAGATCTGACAGACAGAGAGAAGGAGAAAGTCAGGAGGCACTTTCAGAAAAAAAGAGATTCAGGTGGAGGTGATTGTGGGATAATTGAAAAAGCGGAAGGCAACACCTATAAAATCTGTTTCAAGGAAAAAGAAGGTAAGGAATCCCATTTACTGAAATGGAATTATAGTTAGAATATACTTTGCAGTAATTTTAAATGTAGGATTCTGTTGAGACCTTCAACTTTGTTTTTTACAGACCAGGAAAGGGTTTTGCAGAGAAAGTTTCACACTGTCTCCTTTCCTTGTGGGGAAGTAAGTCTGACAGTGAGCCGAACCATTTCACCACAGACCACCGATCAGCCGTCCTCTAGTCACTCACAGGTGATTTAATATTGCTCTCTAGACTTTAACTGACTCATTCATCATTGCAGGAACGTCACAGCCAAATAATCTGGATACAACAGTTTGGGGGAATTTCTGAGCAGAGTCAATATCTCATAAAAGAAAGTTGACATGATACATTTTTATATATTATAAAATAACATCTATGTTTTTATCACTTACATTACGAATTGATTTGTTTGATATTGCTTTTCTTCGACAGACATTCACAAAAGTAAACACAAAAGGCCTTGAGAAGATTTTCAAACTAGATATTTTCCTCCTGTATTTCCTGAGAGACAACCAGAAAGCAAATAAAGTCTTACAGAAGCAACTCTCTGCTATTGGCTGCACGGTGGAGTTGGATTTTGTCGAAGAGGAGGCAGTGGTTAGGAGAGATATTGAGAAGGGCCCTGGAGGAGCCTTCAGTATGGCAGAGAAATGGGAGATACAGGTGGATCGGGTCTTCATCGGTCTTACCGAGAGCTACCTCTGCTACACTGTGGTTGAGCAAAAAAAACTCACAATCCTACTGCAGGACCTCTCCTTTGTGACAGACGATATCAAAGTGTACAGCGAGAGCGGTTATGTTGTGGTTGTGGGAGAGGTTGAGGCTGTGAATGAGAGGATTTCAATCCTGGAAAAGAGTCTGCCAACCCGGAAAGAATTGCCAATTGCGGAGAAGCGGTTCAAACTGGTGGAAGAAGAGTTCTGTCGAGAAATGCGTGCGCATTGTTCAAAAGTAAAAATCCACATAGGACATGCTATGATCACTTTGGATGGCCCTGACATGGAGGTGCAGTCAGGAGCTACGAAACTTGATGAACTAATCAAAAAGGTAAAGGAAAAGAGAGTTAAACTCTGCGCAGCTTTAATGGACTTTATAACGTCCAGTGATGTCATCTCCAAGTACAAGGCTCGCTTCCAGCAGAGCCTCAGAAGTCCCGTTTCCCTAGAGGCGGGGTCCGACCTGGTCCTGTCCAGCTTGTCCTCTAATGCCCTGGACGAGGCCGAGGTAGCGATGCAGAGAGACCTTACTGTGGACGATGTGCCGCTGCAGGGAGCTGCAGCTGTACCTCCAGACCTAAACATCGTGAAGGACATCCTCAACAAAGTCAAGAACAAGGCCAACTCTCCAGAGCTCAGAGTGAACGTCAGCTTCATCCCAGAAGTCAGTGGAACCGCAACCGCCAAAGTACGACTGGTGGGCTACCGTGAAAATGTGAACAAGCTCAAAGAGGTTCTGCATGACTACCAGATGAACCAAGTCGAGACACAAGAGATGCTGAACCTACCGCATCCTGAACTGCTTGACTGTTTTCATAAATTTTTAAGCCTGATTGGCATGAAGCAGACCAAGGTGACCTTGAAGACCTCCCCATTGCCACACCCATGTGTGCTCGTGTCTGGTCCCCGTTGTCTGGTCCAGGAGACCCAGCAGGCCCTAATCTCAGCTCTAGCCAGTCTGATGTCAGACACGTTGGTTCTAGATGGACCAGGGGCTCAACGGTACTTCCAAGCAGAGGGTAGAGTTGGCAAGGAGCTGGTAGAGAGCTCCTGTCAGGTTCTAATCAGGGAACAGCAAAGTGTGTACTCTCCAATTGTGGAAACTATACCACGAAGCATCAGCAGCCCCAACATCTTTGCCAGCAGCACCAGCCTCTTCCCCAGCAGCACCAGCCACTTCCCCAGCAGCACCAGCCACT